ATAAGCTGTACCAGCTGAAACTAGATCAAGATCCACCCAACGACGAGACAGAATAGCAGTGAAGGCCTTTTCAGGGGAGCGAAATTTTATTATCCATGACCCCGAAAATCCAAGAGGAGAAAAGAGTAAAAGGAAATATAGATATGCACCCTATGGCTCCATCCTGTAACATGTCGAATTTGCACCAGAAATATTGAAGAATCAACCGAGGACGGTTGAAATATGTTCCCCGCGGATGTCAGCTTCCCATCAAGATGTGAGCTGAACATAGACTAAATTAAACAAATTCGTACATCAACAAAGAGACTAATGAATCAACTGGAAGAGGAATACCAAAGTACATTTGATTAGTCAAGAAGCCTCATGATGAGTCAATTCAAGTCAGTTTAATTTTCAGCTATAATGATTTGAAATGACTCCTAATGACTTTAATCGACTCTTAATGATTCCAACTGACTCATAATGACTCAAATGATTCAAATGGAATCAAATGGACTCAAATTTACTCAGAAGTAGCCAAACGTAGCCATACAACTTTTTGTGTATATAAGGAGCTCAGTAGTCACTTCCAAATTAATCTTCTTAGTGCCCATTTTCGATCTGAATTAAATATTCCTTTCAGGAATATTTCTTTAAGTGACTAAGCCTTAAGTTGCTTCATCAAGAGAACACTGAAGTGAACAACGAAGAGAACACTGAAGAGAACACCGAAGTGAACAACGAAGAGAACACCGAAGAGAACACTGAAGAGAACATCGACCCACACGTTTATCAAGTCGAGCTACCTACCAATCAAAGCTACCTACCAACCCAAGCTACCTACTGAGAACACTGACTACGGGATTCATACTCTGAACACTGACTACAGGTTACATATCTGAACACTGACTACGTGATTCTTAATTGATCACATCACACCTGGGATACCAAATCGAACTACGTACGTGATATTCATTTGAATTTTATACTGACCTTACATCGAGAGATTAAATATATCTCAAGTGTACCTTGACTCAACTACATCTACTTATAGTTATAGGTAGTGATCAACTCTTGTATAGTACAATTCAATTGACTTGTGTAACTACATCGTTCCCGGCCGAACTTAAATATTCTTTTTGAGTGTTCTTGAATTAAGTTTCTTGAACCAACTCACAGCCAAATTTACTTTAGGCTGACATCAGATCTCACCCCCGACCTCCATTTCGTTCGGCTCAACAGCAGCGGCGAACCAGAAGACTCGATCATTGTGGAATGTGCAGTGGCCCAAACGGCTGACGCGTTGTGGAAGAAGGCAGAGGATTGGGTGCGGGCTCCAGATGTCCATCTCGTGATCGTCATCAACGTGTCCATAGAGGACATCTCCACCCCGTCTGGGTCCAAAGCAAAGACCAAGCTCACGATGAAGGACCTTGATGAATCGGAGCTCCCAACTTATGGTCCCATCACGATCGACGGCCGTATCTGGCGTGGCAAACTGCGTCAAATCCTTGTATGCCTCTATTTTCCTACGGATGAGGCAGACTATGGCCTGGGAGCAGAGTTCAAGACAGTCGAGTTTGTGTGTATCTTTGGCTATTCATTATTCATCATTTCCCACTTTTTGATTGAAAACCTGTAGGACATTACTCCAGCCGATGATGCAGAGAATACCGATGCTCTCGACAAAGCTCTTGACGAGATCAGTGATTGTCTGAGTTCTGTCACGTTGGATTTGGTCACGCAGACCGTTTTCGAGACATGCTTCCCCACCAACGCGCCTTTCGATCTCAAATGGGATGATTTCTACAAGTCATTTGCCCGTGGCCTCCGACTCGATGCTCTTCACCACTACAATAGGAACAATAACACACCCGTTCCTAAGCGAGAGGTGCCCAAAGTCGATGTCTTGAAGCGCCAGCAGACGAACCAAGCGTACCTCCAGAATCGTGTGAAGAAGAGGCGAACTTGATGAGAGGATGCGGGGGCCGCCAGTGGTTGCAGCTACTTTATTTAACTTCTGGGCAGTTGGACGACTTTTCAAACTCAAGTTCTACGTATATCTCAAGTTGTAGTACCATACCGAAATCCAACAAATATCATACCTTTGGGCGGGGGTGAGCTGAAACTTAAGTTCTCACCCTGATCCTAAGTTTCACTTCCGAACTGGAGTTCCCGCAACACTCGAGTTCAATGGGATAACCTAGATAGGGGCCATGCCTTTGCTCTGGGTGAGCCAGATTGACACCCACGTATACATCAAGGCAGATGAAATAAACGACAATGACCTCCTGGTTACTCTAGCTGTTGATGTGTGTCTTCACTTGCTGTCACGATGCCCTGCACCATTCTGGCCTCAAGATGCGGCTGAAAGAGGACGGGCATGGGCGCACAAGGGCACAATCGAAGACAGGGTGGATGGGAAACGTAAGTGTCTCTGCTACTTTAAAGGCTCTATCTGACTTGGGAACCTCAGGTTACTTTATGCGGTGTGCATTCGGTTACAAGGGCATCTTTAAACTTGGCACCAACGGCTTCGCACATATGTGCACCAGAGCACAACGCCTACTGCAGGCCTGGAAGGCCCACTCGAACTCACAGACGTTCTCTAAGAAAGCCGGTGGGCCGCAGGATTGCATGACTCAGGAGAAGCACAAGATCAAGACCAAGTTTGATTTACCGCCCAAGTACGCTAGGGCACACTGGTACCACTACCGGGTCTTCAAAAACCTCGATCCCAACACGCTGGAGCGGGTGAAAAAGACTAGGAAAAGCCGTTAGGCAACTTTTACTCAGAGGACTATGGAAAATTATGTAATATATACTATACTCTCGTGCCTTTCATTTCCTATTTTGCATGAATAGATTTGCTTGCTGCGTACTGTCAATTTGAGAAAGTCAGTGGATATAAAGCTACACTGGAGAGAATTCCTTTAGATATAAATGCTTCTACACCAAAAATCGGTGCTTCCCAAAAGACGTACAAACAATCAAGAACCTTCATGATGAATGACTCGTCACAGCTGATTTCTATATACCTGGACATCGAGTATGGCCAATCACTTTGCCATTGCAGGGATGCTAACGGATACGCAGGCAACAACTACTCAAATGCTCCTCCAAAAGCGAGAAAAATGCCCTGGCCCGTCACTATCTGCCTGGCCTTGCCGCCATCTACCGCATGTTAACCGAAACACCTTACCTACAAGGATTTATCAGAGAACTGGAATCCCAGCTTCAGGAGAACGAGGAACTTGCAGCGCCATGGCCAACCTGTGGTAATACTGGCAATTGTCCCATTCTCACATTACCGAACGAACTGCTGTCCCATATCCTCTTTTTGTGTTCTCCCACTAGCTGTGTTCGACAGATAATGTCTGTCTGCAGGCGCTTCTGTCAGGCGATGCCTACCAGCTGTCTGCAGCCCCTACTCCTCACTCCGAACGACCAACTCTATAGACCTGGAATCCGTGTCAGGGATACAGGGGAATTGCTTCACATGCTGGGGCTTCTCGACAGTACAGACGTCCAACTATCTTTTTTCCTCGACGAGGTCCCGCCTTTCCTTCTGCAGCAGGCTCTCGCACATTGTCGGAGGATCTCACGCCTTGACATTGGAAAGTGGTACCATTCGGAACCCCCCTTCCCTACTCTAAAGCAGGTCACCATCGCTCAGATGAACACCAACCTCCAGCTCCTCCAAGATCTTCCATTTCCTCGACTCGTAGAGCTGAATCTCAGCGCAGAATTCAACTTCTTGCCAGACCATGGAGGCCCAGAGACGGAGGAGGATATGATGGAAATTGTAGCTCAAGCCAAAAAACGAATGTGTCAGGAAACACACCTCTTCACAATGTGTCAAGAGCTTTCCGACGTCAAATGGTCTTACATTGTGGACCCTGAAAGGTTCCCGCTTCCATGGTCCCAGATCAAGAGATACTCGGAACATAACTCCATCAGATCATCACCGCACATCCCCCATCTTCACCTCCTTGCGCAACTCCGCCATCTAGAGCTTGTCAATGTCCTGCCACCCCTGGAACCCTTGACACTGCATCATCTCATCTCATTCGTATTCCATTGGAATCAAGACGACCGGCGCGAGGGTGACTTGATTGGCTGTCTCACCCTGCCATGTCTATATACGTTGTCTATCACAGGCTCAATCTTCCAGGCGACAGGATTTTATTGGCTCGATACAATAACGGCACTGGTGCAGCGTTCAGGGTGCCCATTGGGCAATCTGACCATCCAGGCACCCAGTACCACATTCTACTCGTCGCTTGCCTGTTTTTCAGCAATGAGTGATCTCACGCTGATGGGCAACGAGTACGATGGGCATCTTTTTCAAGCTTACAAAGAAATTTCAGGCGAGTTGGGAGAGCCCACCAGGAGGGAGGGCGATTTTGTCCCAAGTTTGCACAAGGGAAAAGCATCATGGGAAAATAAGGATTTGGTCCCGTTTGTACTGACACTTGTTGAATCTTGATGTAATGCATGTATTTTGTTTGAACAAGACGGCAGGCAAACACGCGGTCCACCGCCGCTGGATTGGTCAAGACTTGTACATATCGTTTTTTTTTGGTATTTATTCTTGGGCGATCGGGCTGCTACCTCCATGGTAGGCTCGCTAACGACTGGGAACAGGACTCATTGTGCATGTTGTAGATCAACGTGACCGTTTTGACACCTGTCAGACCCGCAAATCGGACCGGTGGCGGTGGTAATTGATCAGGACGCGTCGCGTCGGATTGCTTTTTTTTTTTTGTTTTTTGGTGTCATTCAAAATGAGTTGAAAAGCTAATAGACGACTACAAATGTTGTGCTCGTTTACTTATCGTATGATAATTCTAATAAGCGGCTGGTGCCTCGTGTCAGAATTATCACATCAAAAGAAGTTTTTTCGTCTCGATCATGATCGAGAAAAGTGATCCGTCTACATATGAATAAATTCTCACTGCGAGTACCAAGGTCAGGATTATCCAGTGGAGGTCTCCTATTTTCGAACTATAAGAAAAGAGGGCTGGATGGCCGAGTGGTCTAAGGCGTTGGATTTAAGTCCCAATGGGAGCAATCCCGCGCGAGTTCGAACCTCGCTTCAGCCATCGTGTTTTCTTTGATTTTTCTTTTTCTATGTTTCTTTTTATGCTAAATAAATAAATAAAACGGCAGTTCGAGCGCCTGCCACCTCCTTTTTGCATTCAGGTTAATCCGGATTGCGAGTCTAATTGTGTTATCTGTAGAACCTGCCAGAGTGCTCCTCCACTGCAGGCATAGCCGGAGAAACCAACTGTTCCAAGGCATATTCAATGATAATATATCGATGATATTGCTTCCATTTAGGCTCGACTTGAATTTTTGGGAACTGGTGCAAGACAGCTGGTCACGAGACCGTTCAGCTTCCTCTTGATCGGGATGCTACTGCGGCCACTGTCTCTGACGCTGAGGAGGGCATACAGCTCACTTCCGTCCTCTATTTACTTGGACCCGTCAAGAGCAAATCACCCTTCAGTGTCTACAACCCCGGAGGACATCTCCCATGTCCAGCGTCAACAGCTCGACAGTGCCCTGCGCGTCGACCAGGCAGGCGAAATAGCAGCCAACTACATCTACATGGGCCAGATGTTTATTCTACGTGGAGATCCGTCACTGCGACCTATGATACAAGTTGGTTTTGCGTCTACGCTGTACCCGGCTATTCATTCTCCATCTCAGGAAATGTGGGATCAGGAAAAGAAACATCTTGCCGTCATGGACAAGCTTCAGCTTCAACACCGAATACGACCGACATTACTCTCAGACGTTGCCAAAGTCGCTGGCTTTGGGTTGGGTGCAGTGACCGCGCTCATGGGCAAAGAGGCAGCAATGGCATGCACGGAAGCGGTCGAAACGGTCATCGGAGAACATTACGACGAGTCAGCCCAAACACCCTGGCAACCTTAGTTGGATTTTGACCCTGCCATATATCCAGCCAGCTCAAAGAGATGCAAACGCTTCCGTCGGAGCATCCAAGTGTTCCACTGCTCCGGGATGTTGTGCGAGAGTTCAGAGACGATGAACTCGAGCATCTGGACATTGCGGTAGAGAACAATGCCCAGCGCGCGCCTGCGCACGCTCTTTTAAGCAGTGTTGTTGGGGCGGGTTGCAAGTTGGCGATAGCGGTATGCAAGAGGGTCTAGACGCATTTAATGTTCTCTTGTCGCGGTTACTACGATGTCGGCTTCTTGGCCAAAGATTCATTACGCTGTTTCCCCTTCCAATCCCACTTGTTCTGCATGACTGTGAGCACAGACATTTGAATACAGATAGAAGAAAGCGAGTGACCTGAGATGCATGTATGACGAAGAATAGACCCAGCGGGATAATCACTACTCCCCACATCGTGGAGCGTACAGTCTTGTTCGTCCAACGAAAGTGCTTGTATTGGTCCTCTCGCTAAATGCGTGCCGCGTCAGGAATACAGAACGGCGGGTGTGGACCGAGAGGGAATACCATGAGAGATACCCGTTCAATGGCAGCATCCTGAACCTACAGTGGGGTGAGCGTGCTACTGCGTTTGAAGGAGGAAATATCGACCTTTACATGGGCTATTTCGCAGAAGGGTCAGCTATGGACTGGGACATGGGATTAATATGCACTTACCGTGGCCGGTCATGGTTTAGCTGCGAGCTGATTTGTTTGTCCTTGCATTTGTATCCCTCATCTTACAGTCACCATGGCCTACAACCGCGAGTGGGACCAGGGCAAGCAGGCATGGGCCCAGCAGCAGTCCTGGGCTGCCCACCCAAGAGAAGAAGACTATTACAACGAAGGAAAGCGGAGAAAAACCAACGCTGGGGTGCGTCTCACCCTGGGCATTCTTAGCCTCCTCTTATCTTTCTTCTAGGGCTACGAGGCTTCTCAAGGATACTCGGAGAATAATTACGACCCCACCGTCTATTCGGGGCGATCTTCAGACGGACCCCATGAGCATATGCAAGACGACCGCTTTCGAGGTGGCGCAGGTGGCGCTTTTGTTAAAAAGCGACTGCAGCCCTCAGAGCCCAGTCCCCATGTCATTTTTCTGGGCCTGGATCCCGACTTTACCGAGGCCGATGTCTGTCGACTCCGTCCTTCTTGCCAATCCTTTTCCCGTGACTGAAGTCGCTCCTCCTTCCAGCTCCAGAAATACCTTTTGTCGAATGGCTGCAGCATCGAAACCGTCACAATCATCCGAGAGAGATCATCAGGCACTTGCCCATTCGTATCTCTACTTCTGCACATCCATTAACGTTATTCGCCATTGGATTTACAAGGTTCATCTAAAGGCTTCGGCTTTGCGCAATTCCCGACTATCGAGCACGCCCGATCGTTCGTGGATCCTCTTTTCCCCTTCATACAAGTCCCACCCCCGGCTTCCCACGGTGCATCGGCGACGGCGGCATTCTACAAAGCCCTCGAAACTGGCCTCCCTCACAATGGTCGACGGGTCAAAATTGACTACTCGCAGAGTGCAACTCCTCATGAAAAGGGACGGATGAACCGGGGCAACTTGAACGATGGTACACGCGACATCGGCAACTCCCAGGCCCCCGTTTTGCTCTTCCGCGGCCTGGACCCCCCTTTCTGGCCCTCAGGCTATTCATCAGGCCATGCTGTCCTCATCTGGCGTTGGGAAGGAAGGTGCAAAGGGGATGAAGCGGATTGTTTTGATCAAAGACAAGGTCACCATGGCCAGCTTCGGCTTCGCCTTTGTGGAGTTTGTGGATCCTCAGGTTTGCTTCCCCCCCCCCCCTCGGAGCACCGCCATCCATAATTAATCTCTCCGCAGTCTGCCGCGGCTGTCCTAGCTGCAACGATGTCCCCCCATATCCATCCCTCTGGTTTCCGCATCTCAGACCGTCCGGTGGCCGCCTCGTTCGCACACCCTTACTCTTTCCAACCTATTGCCGATCTCATGATCCGAGACGAAGCCTGTATTCCCTCCTCGATAGGCCTTGGGGGAGAAGAAGGCACGTTGGTGAGGTACTGGGACGAGGGATCCACGATAGCGCAGCTCGAATTTCAAGTAGAGCAACCTGTCCAACCGACAGTCGTTACGAAGGAGAGGAAAGAGAAGAAGAAAGGCAAAGGTACACCACTTCCGCATCAAGTGACTCGTTACTGACATCTCTTCGAGTGGAATCCGAGGCAAACCCACACAACGTGCCAGCGGCCCCTTCCGCCCTGCCAATATCCGACAAGCCGGTAACGCTTAGTTTCAGCAAGGGCCTGGGAAGATCGGGGCCGGGTATACTCTCATAACTATGTTGAAACGTGCACAAGCTCACGATACCTTCTTAGTACCAGTCAAAGCGGTTTCTCTGGGGTTCTCCATGGATGACGGTAGCAATCCTGGAGAGTCAAATGCAGACGATGAGGCGGAGACCAAAGGTCTGAATCCCCCTGTTTGGATTCCTCCTTCAGAAATTGACCTCCTTCGCAGCCCCGACGGGTAAAAAGGTAGCTCCATTGATTGCGAGTAAGAAGGTACTGTACAAGACGATCTTGACCCTCTTCGTACTTTCATAATCCGTGGGGCCGCGCTGATCCTGGCTACTTGTCTTACAGACAGTAAACAATATCAACAAGTGGAACCAAGTTCAGGAGGAACTTACAAACGATTCGAGTGCTGTCTTACCGTCTTCTGCTCTGGTGACCTATCTTTCTTGGCTATTCCCCTCCAGACAAATCGCTTTACTCGGTTCTCACTGTGTATCCTCTGTGCAGGCGCATCCAAAGAAACCCGGACCATCTGCTGATCCGAAAACTGTAACTGCCCCTGTTACTTCATCCAACCCGGAAGCAGTTGCTGTAGAAGGAGAATTTGAGTTTTCGGACGTCGGCGCTCTCACCTGTCTGCTCTGTGCTCGGCAGTTCAAGACTGTGGATCAGCTGAAGCGCCATAACAAGGAATCAGACCTGCATAAGGCTCGCATTCCACAACTTGCGTCACTTTTGTTTTCGATGATTGGGCTAACGTGGCCTTTTGTTCTTTCCTTGCATTGTCATTGCATTCCGTCCCCAACAACAGAAAAACTTCAAAGATCCAAATCTTCGAGACGTGGCTCGACAGAAGCTTGCCGCTCGACTGGCGAGCACGTCTTCAGCGGATCAGCCCAAATACCGGGACCGCGCTTCGGAGCGTCGTGTTCTCTTCAACCAACCGGACGCCCCTGTTCCAGAGAAGGACGCGAGCAAACCAATAAAGAAGCGGCAGGCCGAAGGTCCTCCGCCGCCACCATCTCCTCCGGCCCCACCCGTCAATCCTGGCAAAGACGAGAATAACGTCGGAAATAAGCTATTGAAGATGATGGGCTGGACTGAAGGGTCCGGGCTGGGAACCACCGGCGACGGCAGAGTTGATCCCATGTGAGCGCATTTGCTTTCTCATCGTATACGTCGCTTATTTTCATGAAGATCGACCGCCGTGTATGCCCAAGGCGTGGGCTTGGGGGCAAGCAAGGGCAAAGATATTGCGAAGTACACCGAGGGCGCCTCCAGCTATGTTCATTTGGCACAAGACGCGGTAAGTGAACAGTGTCTTGAATATACATTATTGGACTCACCATTCCGTTTCATATAGGCTCGGGAACGTTATGGGAAATAATACGAGATATTTCTTGTATTGCAACAACCTAGTGCTTGTTAGTATTGTGTGATACATATTTAACAATAATTGTTCATGTCCTGGAAACCGTTAGCGGAAGTTGGCGCACAATATTAATGAGATGAGTAATAACCTGCGGTGTCCACATGTGTCCCTACACCTCCTCCTAGCTTTTTCGTAACTTCAGAGATCGAGCCACAGGGAACCCTCAGTGGCGGCGTCAGCGCCGCAAGGAAGTTAGGGAATAATTATATATTGCGGCTGCAGTACTGCCTGTATCTCACTCAAACCTCACTCCAAGGCGCAAATAGCTCTGTTGGCGTTCTCACAGTCAGATGAGTAGCTGCCAGCTCCAGGGACGCGTACTTACCAGGTTCAACTCAGAGTCACATGCAGAGTGACAAAGCGTTACGGTTCAACTTTTGAAAGTGAGACATTCCATTGTGCTTTTCATGGCGTCACCAAGTCCAGGTCCGT